CCATATAAATACCACAAATTAGAAGAATAGCATATAACTTAAAAAAAAATTAACTAAATTAATAAATAAAAAGAAAAATCAAACCAAAATTTGAGTTTTATATTTCCTTACGGTTTTTTTTTTTATTTGATAACAGAATGAAATTTGATGCAAACAAAAAAGTTAGTTACGTAAAAGTTATTTTTAAAATTTGAAATCATTGCACATTTCTTTAGCCTTGTATTCTTGTTGTACCTATACATTTTACTGTTTGTTTAATATAATTATTTAATTTTTCTTTTAGAATATTGAAATTTTGCTGTACACATTGAGTATGTAAGTATTTACTGAAACAAAAAAAAAGTAACAAAAACAATATGAAATATTTTATACTCGTTTTACATATATATGCAATGTGCTGCACTTACGCAGGTCGTCGCATTCGATTTACTTAGTTCGATTTTTTTTTGTTACGATTTAATGTATAATTCTTCTAATATTTGTATTACAAAAAAAAATTATAAAGTTTACATACATACAAATGTATTTAGGTAGAATTGTTTGCGTTTTTTAAATTTATAAATATAACATTTGTTGTTAGTGCTTAAATATATGTAAATACAAAATGTATGTTTGTTTTAAAACATGTGAAAAAAAAAAATTTAAAATAAAAATTGAAATTATAATAATGATAAAAATGTCCAAATTCATGTTTTAAACATCAATTAAATTGAATTCACTTTTAGTGCCTTTATTCACAAAGCTCAGTTTAGTAGATGCAAAAAGCTGGCGTAGAACTCGAGGTTTACGCAGCATTTGGGAACAAATCTTTTGCGTTTGGATGGAGCATAGATTGATACATGGAAATGCACCATTTTAAAATGTTCCAATGTATTTTCGTATAATACAATTAATTTTTATTTAATTTTTTGATTTGTTCAGTGTTGTTGTGTTGCCAATGTTTTCAATTATTATACTATATGTAAATTATATTTCTTTATAAATAACTAGTCATTTACTTTTCCCTTGACCCTGTTGTTGAAGATTTATTTATTTCCATCAACAATTGTTCAGTTGATTTTGTATATTTATATATATAAATTTGTGTATGTAAATGTTTTTCTTTCCATCTTAATTTTTTTTTTTTGTATATTTAAAACAATAAGTTAAGGTTTTAATGCATAAAATAATATTTACTTTTTATATTTTTTATGAACCCATTGGGTTTAAGTTATATCTGCACCACACTGCACGCGCTCCGTATGCAAATTGTCTCGAAAAAAAAAAAAAAAAAAAAAATACCCAAAATAAAGTACAAAAATATTTAAATTAAAATAAATTAATATATATAGCTTGCAAGCTAAACAAATGGTAAATCAATTTATATTTTATACAAATGTATGTTAACAAATTCTTTACTATTGAATTTAATTATATTTTTACACGAATAATTGCTTTTTAAATATTGAACAATTTAAATTATTATTTTTTTTGTTTAAGTTTAGAGTTTTGTGTAAATGTACACATTTTCTCCTATTAAGTACACAAGAAATTTGTATTTCAAAATAACTATTTATTAACGTTAAACAAAATGGGTAACATGGATTTAATTTTTGTGACAAATTCTTTTACGTGTACAAGCAAACAATTAAACGCAAAAAAAAAAATGAAAATTAAATATAACTCAAAAAAAAAAAAAAAAAAAAAAAAAACACAAACGATATATAAACAGTGAAGTATGCTAAAAACAATTATTTAAAAGTTGAAGAAATTTATTATAAATTGTAACGTGCATTTTACAACTTCAACCATTTGTTACTTATTTTTTTATTATTTTTAATATGAATACAATTTCTAAGATTTTGCTACAAATAAATAAAAATATTTTTTAATTACTGTATAACATCATATCTAAATACTAACCGAATTTCAACTAAGTTCATTTGTAAAAAAAAATATTTAATTCCAGAAGAAATCATTTCATTTTCGTGTTAATTGGCAATACAAAATAATTTCTTAAAATTACAAGCAAATTACAATGCACACACGGAGCACATGTTGTGCGATAAAACAGCCTGCGGAATAAAACATGCATTTCTTGCGCTTTTATATTCATCTTGGTGTTCTTTTCTTTATCATCGTTTAGTGTATATATATATGTGTGTACGCATAAAACTTACTCACAACAGTATTTTGTTTTAAACAGTCAATAATAGTACTATGTACCATACGCTATTTGGTAAGCTGTGTGTGATTGTGTGTGTGTGTGTGTGGATGATTTTTTTTTACCACTTTTTGCTCCTTTTTTTCTTCTTTTTTTTTACTATGCATTATTTTATTATAATATATTAAAATATATATTATATTAAATACTACACTCACAATATACATTTTTTTAATAAGAAATATTCAAAATAAAAATCGAAATCACGTAAAAGTTGCTCAAATATTACATATTAGTTCTAATAGAGTCAAAAATTGAACTCTTCCTCTTAACCTTTTACAATCGTTTTGTAAACATATGTTACTTTTGCATAAAAAAGTACTTATGTATTAGGAATTTGAGGCAGGCACATGCACGTTCCTTTAGTACACACATACTACATATTGTACAGACATATGCATGTATGTATGTATGTATGTATGCATATGTAAATTCAATGTGAATGTGTGCAAACATAAATTAATTCATTCATGGATGTACTAAGTAACAAAGTTGACGCTGTTGGTTGGTGTCAGTTATTGTATAGGTAGTCAAATAAATACATAAATAGAAATAAATATTAGAAATAAATTGAATTAAACACATAAACTTCAATATGTACTCCGTATATTTGTATGTGCACAAATGGTTAGATGTATAAAATGTCAAAAAAATTAATTTATTTTTGCTCTTTTAATTTTGGCAAAACGAAAAAAATCGAAAATAGTTTTAGAACTGTGCTCCGAGATTTGCAGCATTAAAAAATATTATTAATTTACATAAAAACTATTCAATATTAGCTTTGGTCAAGTCGTATGCAGTAAGTTCTTATACAAATCATTTGAAATAACTAAATAAATCTTGTTTGCTCATATATAAGCCAATAATCGGTATTGCATTGCATTAAAAAAATTGTATTTATTTCAATTAGTTTTTTTTTTTTTTTTTTTTGTGAAAATTTAGTTAATTTATCATGACAATATTCGGCACATTTCCTTGTTATTGCACTTTAATTTATTGTTATATACATAAATTTCGAAAAAATTTAATTTAAATTCTTTTTTGTTTTTTTCTCAATCAAAATTGCATAAAAACTGTAGACAATAACGGCTTGAAACGGACATACATATGTATGTAGTATATGTAACTAGTACGCTTGAATATTTTTTTTATAATAAATGCTAAATTAAAGAAAAACATGCCATAATTTATTGTAGCCTAACCCTACATATGTACATATATTCATATGCAAATATACAGATAACGAGTCCTAATAAATACTTTAAACAAATTGCGGAGTACAATCTTTGTTTATCTTTATGCAACATTTGACAACTGAACTAATTATACATTTAAACTTGACAAAATCTTTCTGTATATATAATAACAATAATACGAATTTGGGATACAAAATAAAAATACAAAAAAAATTAAATTTTGACTCGTTTAATTTATGTTATCAAGTTATTCGTGTATCCAACAATAATTGCTCTACAACAACCACAAAGCATTTATTACATAATTAAAATGATAAAAAATAGACACACCGTGTTGATACGTAATGAATGAAAAAAAAAAAAACTTTTTTAAAGTGAATAAATTTAGATTAGATGTTTATCAGAGGATCCAACAGCGTTATTGACTTTACTTAAGTATCATTCCATTGATATTTAGAAATAGTAACAACAATCAATATTTTTTAAGGGGAATAACATTAATTTAGAAATTTAATCAATTGATTATTTTGAGTTATTTTCACAAGATTTTAATATATAATATTAAATTTGTAAACACAAACACATGAGCCCATTGTTTTGCATGCCATATATGTATTTCAATGCTTGTTTACTACAATTCAGCCAGTTGGTGCGGCTCACAAGCTTGATAATAATACACACAATACGCTGCTTTTGCTCATGGTATTTGTATATATTTAATTTGAGTTATTTCATACCAATACATACATAGTTCATCATCATTTTCTATACATATATATATATATATATTTATAATAATAAATAGGAGTTATCTTTAAACGCCTACGTATAGGTAACAATTACATGTACATTTAGAATCAGAATCATAATCGAACTAGCGACAAACAGAACGCACAGGACTATCAACGTATGTATAATGATTTATAAAAGCAATGAAAAACAAATAACATTGTTTTCCTAATGCATTTTGTGGATATTTATCAAGTATGATTGAAACATACACTTATTGTACATACGTAAGTATGTATGTTCAGTTTATAAATATATATATACATTTATAAATTTAATTTTTTAATATTTATTTTATAAATTTATTTTGTATAAATTGTTTTTAATTTATAATTAGTTATCAGACAAAATGGTAATTATTTAAAAACATCAATTTCATCAAAAAAATTATCATTGTCATATTATGATCTCAGCTTACATCGCATAATAGCGTAATTTAAATTTCTTTAAGAAATATATATATATAATATAATAATGTATAGAAGATATATGCATGTATACAATAATTTTAAATTTAATTATTTTAAATGTTTAGCTTGTTTTTAGGTGTATGTATATTTTACCCAAGGGGAAAAGAATTCTTTCACAGCGAAGACGCTGTTTTGTATATGTTTTTGCTTTTAGTTAAGATGTGACTGTTTTGATAATATTTCGCTTTATATTATATGTACATATTTTTTTTTCTCAGTCAATAATAAAGCAGTGGGCTAAGCACTAACATGTTTTCGGCTAAATATTAATAATAATAATTTATTTATTTATTTACTTCCTGATGGGCAACTTGTTTTCTTTTGTTTTGTGTATGTGTGTGGGTGTGTGTGTGTATGTGTGTATGTAAGAGTGTTTTTATGTGCGAGTAGAAGAGTAGGTGTGGCTGCATAAAAGCGACATCATGCGATTAGTGATTGCATTCATACAAAAATATTACATTATTTTTTTGAGTTTGAGTTTGTTCTCATTAAACGTCTATAAAATATAGTTTTATATTGATCACGTCATCGGAAATGTTAGTAAATAACATATCACTATTCATTTTCAAAATCGTTTTTAAGAATATCTAATACCAAAAAATTTTACATTTACAATTATAAATAATTAGTCGTTTCTGTGCATTACCCCTTATACACTCGTTTTTCTACATGCTATACACAAGTCGATCGGCTCAAATCTATATACATATGTATTATATGTAATTATGATTTCATTGCCATTTTCATCAGAGCCATTTTCTAACTACTTTTCTAAACTATACAGAACACAGAAAGTTTCCAATGCAAGAAATTTACTAAATAAAAGAAATACACTTACAACGTCGTGACATCAGCAGTGGGTTGGTTGTCTTTTCCTCTCAACTTGTATACTATTTTCTTTTTCTTTCACTATACATATAAGTATACTCTCAATTAGGAGAGTTATTTCACAAATATATACGTATCTAAAATTTACTATTTCTACTATAGACTATCGTTGAAAAGGATGATGAGAGTTTAGCATATAATTCTATCGATGATTGATTATTAATCTCCAATTCAGTTAGTGTTGTAATATTGTAATAGTATTGCGTGTAATTTCTGTTAAACAATTTTTGATCACATTCGTACATTCCCTTTTTAAGAGCCTCCGTTTGCTTCTGGCACTACTGCTGTCTCGCTGGCATCGATTAATACGCTGCATTCATAATTTTGTGCTTCTTACCTGTTATAGCTTTCTTCTAGTACTACAACTTAATACCACTGTCATCGGCATTTGACCAGCTTTTGTCAACGATTTCAGAAAGTTCCTGCTCAATATCTCTCATTCGACTACTATCAATGCTATTCTCCTCAGTGTTCAATCCTTTATTATTGCTAATTAATAATTGTTGCTGTGGATGCTGGCGTTGATTTTGCAATTCATGGGATTTTGCAGCCCCAGAGGATAGTGAATCATGCCAGAAGTGTGCCTCAGCAGATTCCATGCTACCACCGCCCCACATTGAGGAACCCTAAAAATTTAATTAATTTTAATGCAATTGCTATTGATTAAACAATTCAATTACGTGTGCCCAAAATTTCGATTTACCTTATTCATGTCCATATTTGCATTGCCATCTGCAGCGGATAACATATTCTGGAACGCATTAAAACCTAATTCAAAATTAACACTATCATTTACTACGACACCAGAACCTCTATCACGTTCTCTGCTCATACTGCTATGATTGAATGATAAATCAGAAAGAAGCGTGTTTTGCATACTATTGAAACTATCAAATGATGATGGTCTATGTGATTGCTGTTGACGTTGGTGGTGTTGTTGTTGCTGTTGTTGTTGGCGAAATTGTGATGCGAGACTGTTCTCAGTATCATTTGAAAATACTGAGTAGTTGATATCGTTAGAGGCGTTTCGATCCAGTAACGGATGTTCCTTATTCACCGATTGATTTCTAATATCGCCACTATTCCAGCTATCTAGATATGTATTGGTGTGGGAAACTTCGGTTGGCGCAGTACTATGCCCTTTGTACATTGGACAGATTGGGCCAAACTTACTGCCCATGCTTGCTGATGTGGCAGGCACTTCAAAAGTGGCGGCATCGTCATCCAATATGGAATCAGAACGCACAAAACTATCACGATCACGAAATGGCCCAGGTGAGGCATTTATACTCATATTATGAGCAATTGAATTACGTTCCGTAGCACTATCTGCGAAATTACCACTACCAATCATATTGTTATGGCTGTTGTGCGCATTCCAAAACGATTGTCGTTTCGGCAAGTCTCCACAAATTAAATTGTCCTTATTGTTGGACATGCTGTTTATGGGCGGGAGTACGGAACCAACGCCATAATCATTTTTGAACATAAACTGATCGCCAATTGTCAAACCATTGAGTGTCTTGTTAAGATTCATGTTGACATTATTAACTTTCTTGCCAAATATAGATGCAGTTTCGTTGGATGGATAAAGTGTTGTGGATTGATGCGTTGCTAACCCACCTATACCAGCAACTCCACTTAATATATCAGCCGCTGTCGATGTGCTGCCCATTGGCCGTTGCTGTTGTTGTTGATCCCACATGCCACTCATTTGTGCTAATCTCAATTTTTCCGATGACCCAATATTGCTTTTCAAATCAGCATTGTTCTTTCCATTCACACCTCCACCATTACCGGCTGGTCCGCTACTATTTTGGTTATTGCTAAATAGAGAGGACGAACGTGTATTTGCACTCAATAATGGTGTATTATAGAATTCTGGCGTTAATGCATTGTATAGACCTTTACTAGATAAAGGGCTGCCAAGTGAAGCGGTCACGTTGTTATTGTTGTGAAATTTCGGTGGGTTGCTGGTGGGTACATTCGATGATAAGGCTGGATGTGATAACGGAGGTTGCAATGAAGTTGGGAAATTTCTTGTAGGCAGTACACCACTACCAGGATTCCGCATTGCCATTGGTGAGCTGTTTATGTTTGACAAACCCTGTGGCATACGTGGGGGTAGACCAGTGTTCGTAATAGGATAATTTAATGTTGTGGCAAAGGATGGATCGTAGCGATGTATATTAGGAGGCACAGGTATTGGTTGTCCACCATTAGGTGGAATTGGACTATGATGCAAGGAACGCATATGATGATGTGCACCGGATTGACCGTGCACTTGTAATGACGCTGTCGCATCGCCGTAACTGCTACGAGGTAATTTGTTATGTAAAGTTTGTGTACCGTCAAATCTTAATGGCGACGTGGCCGTGGAGGCTGGAGCGGAATTATCACTTCCGGGATGTAGCATCACCATCGGATGGGAATTGTGATGAGTGTGGCCGTGACTGTGTGTATGTGCATGTGATGGAAAATCATTATTTCCATTGTTTCCATGATTAATATTTCCACTAGCAATAGGGCCTACGCCGGCGTGAGAAACCCCACTACCTATTTTAGTATTATTTTTACGATTCTTAGCACGATATTTTTCCAATTCCTCTTCAGAGTGCGCGAAAGTACAACTGGATCCGCGTGGACAGTTTCGACGCACAGTCAAATCACGGCACAAGCTGATTTTATATTTAGTGTTGGTGCTTGTTTGACCCGTTGTGCATTCCTGCAGTTTGCGATTGCCATGATGTTGTACGAATTCCACCAATCCCACTACCACTTCATGTACGGACTCCAAAGCTTTAGCTACATCTTGCCATGAAGCCGGTGGACTCTCCAAAGAGGGATCAATACCAGCTAAATGCTTAAGATGTGTTCGCAAGCCGGATAAATTAGCTGGATCACCGGTGCGTTGCAATGCTATAACTAATTCTTGTACAGATTGCGCAAAAGATGACGGGGTTTGCAGTTTATCAATAATGCTTTGCATATGGGACTTGTGAACTGTATCGCCGTACAACAAGGAAGACCACTGATCTGGTGCGATGCGTAAACCAGCTTCTGTTGCTATTTGCACGATTTGAGCGTCGTGTTCACGGCGAAGTGCATCGTATGTACGAAATTCTTCCTTCAATTGCATAAGCGATGAATCTCCTTCGCGTTTGGATACTTTGAAGCAACTGGCACGATATAAAAGCTGTACAACATGACCAATGCTAGTTTTCGACGCTTGGGGAAATCGAGGTTCTAATCTCTGCACTACATACATTACCAGCCGTTTCCGAGAATATGCCGTACTATCTTCAAGTGCTTGTAAAACTAATTTTAAGACTTCCTCCTGCATTGCAGGACCTAAAAATTGGCAACCCCGCGAGCGTACGGCTGCCCATAGATTTGAGCTCAATTGTAATGGATTTTGATGTTGCAGAATGAGTTCTGTAACAGTGCGTTCACCCAATGAACGGGCTGCTCGCAGTACACGTTCACGTCCTTCACGTTCCATCAACTGAGTATTGACTAATGAGACAAGTTTACGTTGCATCGGTCGTGACAGTGGACTTCCGAAATTTCCATTGTTAGTAACAAGAGATTTTAGATACAGTGCAAGACTCTCTATACATTTGTTCGCAAGATTATAACATTTAAGATCCTCCGGATTCAATTGACGCACACTCGGTGGAGTACGTCTGGCGGATGCATTAGCATCCGCGTCCGTGCCTGAGGCGCCTTCACCAACAGCGCCATTATTGTTACTGTTGTCGTTAACATTTGAAGGATTGTGGTTAGTACTATTGGCGCTGGTATTAGTGCTAACCAATTGAAGTAGAGCGTTATTTATGGGGAGATTGTCGACATCGGTTGTGATGGAAGTCTAAAAATTTAAACAAGTTTACACTTTAATATATAAACAAAACTACTCATAAACATTGTGTGCAATAATATATACTTGATCGAATGGACATTGTCGATTGTGTAAGGTGGCCAGACATTGCCGACATATGGTATGACCACATCCCAGACTTATTGGTAGACGTTGGTTGACAGCGAATTCATTACAACAAATGGGACAGAAGAGGAAATCTGTCCATGAAGGCGCCTGAATCGGCATTCTGTAAATAAGAAAAATCTAATCAGATGAAATAACTAACATAGTAAATTAAAAATTCGTCACACATTTCTAAAAGCAAAATTTGTAAAAAAAAAATTTATTGCCTATAATAATGATTTAAAAGAAAAGACTGTTTGCAACAAAATCGATGAATTTTAAAATTTGGGGTTTTCTCAATTTCAATAAATAGTTATAGAATGCTAGATAGAGATTTTAAAGCCAAATATTTTAAAATATTTATTCCTAATAGATATTACCTTTCAGCAGAATATGCCAAGTCTCTAGAAGAAATTTTTAAAATTATTAAGTTCCTCATAAAATACTACCAGCCGATCGGAAGAAGACACCAAAAAATAATAGTAAAAATAATAATAAAAAAATAAAGTGTTTTCATAGTAATCTCTAATAATACATATTTATTTATTATTGTTTGTATTTCTAAAATACAAATAATTTATTTTACAATTATAATATTATATGTATGTATGTAGTTAATTATTCTCAATTTCATGAAATTGTGAAATGAAGAATTTTCTTTTACCGGATTTGTGAAAAAGAACTTACTAATACATATTTTAAAGAAGTTGAGTACTGTTTATATACATAAATATGTACATACATAGAGGGCTTATTAGTTCATACGTGACCATATATTTGTGTATTACTTATGTACCTACTTCTTACTTGCATACAAACGGATAAATGTATGTAAAAATGATATGCACATTTGTATGTCCATGCATCTCGTGAGCATCGTTAACAATTTGTTGATACCTACACACATAGATACGTGCTTGTGTAATGAGTATACCAATTTATGTGCATCTTATAATAAATATAATAAGAGATGAAAAATCATACACATATGTACGTACATATATACATACATTCCTATTTACCTGTCTATACGCACATATGTACATATATATGTTTTATATTTTTATGTGCATTGATACATCTTTTACATGATACTAAAAGTTTATTTTTGGACTTACGGGTCTATTTTTAGAAGTAACGTAATATTTACATAGAAGAAATGTCTTTATTTCAACGTATCAAATTTATCAACTTAACTTTTTAATTAAATTGTTAAAGGCACACAAATACACACACACCCATACAATCACTTTTTACAGTCATACATAAAATTAGCACCAAAATATATTTAAAAATTGAAACCAAAGAACAGAAAAAAGCAAATTACTAAATGAAAATCATTGCCAACGTCAGCAGAGAGAGAGACAGCCTCCACAGAAATAACTGGGGAACAGCTGTAGAGGAGGGTGCATATGCTGGTGCAACGTGAAAGAAACTTCATTTGAAAATGTATTATTGAAACGGTAAATATGTGCGTTTGATATCAGTATTTCATATCACATATATGTACATATTTTAATAAAGCACAGCAATAATAAAAACTAACGAATATTTATTAGCAATAATCAGATGTTTAGTAGCAGCGACGACGCGTTGCGACGTTGGCTTTTGTGTACGTAAGCAGTGCAAGCAGAAACAAAGAAAATTTGTTAGATGTTGTTGACGATGGCAAAGCAAAACAACAAATATTAGCCACGACTGCTTACATCGCGTCACCAGGTCGTTGCGTCGCCGTCGGCGCACTGCCACTATAGTGTTGATTGTCTTGTTGTAAATATAATAATGATCAACAACATAAATCTTCTATCCTGCTCGGTGGGGTAAAAATCTTTTTCATCACTATTAAAAATGTTGCTGTTACCACTAGCAGCAAAAAACTTGTAAGTATAGCAAGCACAATTGGAATTGGTTAATGTTCTCAATTGGATGGATTTTCCACTCAAATTTAAGCAAATATCTTTGAGAAAAATATACATACATAGAAATGTATGTTGCCCAAAGGGGAATAAGCGAAAAATTAAAAGAAAAAAAATGCGTAGGCTCACTGTACTGGCAGCCGACTAAATTGATATAATTATTTTTTATTTATAATCCATTTAGGGAGTATGTGAAGCGGATGTCACCTCGGCAATATATGGGAAGAGGTTGTAGGAGGAACTAGGGCAAGTCGGGCCAATTGTAGGTGACTTCCACACTTTGATATTGTGTTGTTATTGGAGTTGAAGCACCGAAATTGTCGCATGATCAATAATGAGATAAGTGTTTCTTCCGTAGGGGAGTGGTTATAGAAGTTATTAAAAATGCATGTAGAGGTAGGTATGTGTGGCCAAATATTGCAAACGTTTCATCTTGCTTTATAGGTGTAATTTTTTTTCAATAACCTCTGTGTGTCACGGTTATATGTATTAACATAGCGCAACAATCTATAAGTTTCAATTATGAAACTTTTTTCACTTCTTTACTTTTCCATTCGCTGGTTCATCTGTGACTTCATAACATATATAAACAGCAATAAATGGTGTTACGTTACACCGTATAAGCTTATTTTTTCACTATGCATTTGGTTTTTATGTTTTTTTTTTTCTATTTTATTTTATACTTGCTACGCACCTTCAATATGCACATATTACTTTTTCTTCTGAATTCAAAACCTAATCGCTGCAAATTGATTACAATTCAATCGCGTATGTCGACGTAGTAACTTTCACAATTTAATTTTTCTGTTCCTTAATTGAGTGTGTTTGTAAAATCGCTAGAAAATGCAACAAACTAAAATATAATAAATGTATAACTTCCGTCAAATATAAGATTTTTCTTTCTCTGGCAAGGAAAAGTCAAAAACGTCTAGTTAATATAGTGAAGTGCAACGTAGCGATTGTTCGTTAATTTTTTCAATAAATCGTTCATAAGACCGTTAACGATTAGTCGACGAGTAAGCTTGCACTGTTCAAATCTTTTACGGCTTGCACAAAATGTTTGATTATCAGTGCTATACTCGGGAACTAATATATAATATATTATATAAATGCCTTTCTTCCTGAGCGAAATGCACTTTATTGGCTGTACAACGGTAAATTATATCTCTATTAAATTTGTTATTGAGTATGTAAACCAGGAAGTAATGTCAACCCCTTCATCCTTTCCGAGGTGGCTTAGAATAATTAATTTAATAGAAAAATACATTAAGGCGCACACTCCAAATGTAGAGGAAAAGCTGGGCCGGAAATCGCTACCACTATCATCACCGTTTCAATATAAGCAGCAATTATCTCTTTGAATGGGCATATTTTAGTTGTCCGTCAACTTATATTAGCGTTCATTCGGGAATTTCAGTTGGTAGAACTTGAAATTATAGCAACAAATTACTAAAAAACTATAAGTTACCTTGGGGAATAGCCGTTATTTTTATGATGTGTATGACCTATTCTAACACCCACAAGAATAAAATGTTTTCTATGCCTGATGCACTCTCGTAAATTTTCCCCTATATTCGCTTTTTCCAATAATCGGCTGCACATCCTTTCACCACGGTTTGAAATCTGCGATTGTTTTCTTTTTCCAAAATATCAAGTCAAGCTAGAAATAGTCACAATGATATGAAATTTAAACAGAATATCAACTTTACTCGACTACGAATTGTCATCGTGATTTTCTTGCAAAATCCCTCTGCTCTAGTAAACTCGATTGCTGTATTTAGTTGCAATTATGGTCTTTAACAAAAGCTTTCGATAATTAACGATTGATTTTTAGTTGATCAATTCATGTGTTAAAAAGTTTTTTTTTGTTTATATGGCGCGGAATTCTATTTTGTGAACGTTATTGAAATAAAATAAATATTTGATAGCTTTGTATGGTCATTTTGTGAATTCAAAATGTTGCAAAAGGTACATATACAAATGGTGTTAAAAGTATAACATGTAAAATGGTGTTAAAATTTCTGGCTTCTAATTTTTTTTAAAACGATATTAAATACAAATTTATAATTTACAGAAATGGACGTTGAGCGTCGAATCAAAACAATACCATTTGGAGGCTGGTAAGCTCTATTTAATAGGATCTTCAAAGGATGGGGAAGGCGATAATTTACGTATGGATATACCATTAAAGTCTCAGGTAAACTCTTCAAATAAAAATAGAAATAAATCTAACAATCTATTTATTTCAGCATGTGGACATAAAGCATTGTATTGCGGATGTCACCAACAACGATATATGTATCTATGATTTACACACTGAGCTTGGTACGTTTGTGAATGACAAGCGTTTGTGCTCAATGGTAAAGGAGTGTATTAGTGAGGATGCAGAACTTCGGATTGGTGATGTAACAGCAAAGTTAAGCCAGCAGGTAGATGTTCAGAATTTATTTTTATCTCTGGTTTGGGATTATAAATTTGTATTAAATTAATTACAGTCATTAGATGATAATGTAATAGACACTTTTCTTGTGCCTACGCACTCGGCCCCTAGATCATCATTGTCCAATACGAGTACAAGGTTGTTTAGCTCTCCTGACGTATCCCTTTTAAAAGATTCGAGTAATGAAAGTTTTAACATTCCTGAAACCCAACATCATAAACAACGAACTTCCATTGTAAATTCATCTGTATTAAATTCTACAGAGAAGGAATTAAATGTTGAAAAGAGTTTCGAAGATGACTCCTTTATACCAGAAACTCAAGCCCTAGTAGAACAAAAAAATAAAACCTTGGAGCTGGAAGTAAGCGCACATCAAACTAATGATATGATTCGTATATGTACACAAGATTTTAATGAAAATCTGTTTGAGAATGGCGAGGATGATGAAATGCTTTTTTCATCTTTGGTAATTCCAAAAATTCAGCATAAACCAGTAATTTTGTCAAATATTTCAGCGGACAAACAACTAAATAAAGGTGATTAACTTTTCGATTATTTGTTTATAGAGATTATTTAAAAAAAAAAATGTTTTATATGACATTTTAGATGCATCCAGCACTGTTGATGCTGAAATGGATGTATTAAATTGGTCGGCACAAACATCAAAAAATGGAACCTTAGACGGCGTCGCTCAGACAACTGTTTGTAATGAACGCGAGGATACTACCACGCCTGATTTGTTCGACTTGCCTGAAGTCGGCCAACCAAGTCTGCATTCCGCTACTAGTGGGTTAATTAATCAGGTTGAAAGTGGACCAAAAGATGTAAACTCTAACGAAAAAGCTACTTCTATCTGTAATAATTTGTTAAAGACTGTTGAAAATGATGGTGAAGGATATGCAGAGGAAATTGATTTAGCTCCGACGCAGGTATTTATACCTATACCAAAACAACAAAAAGATGAATCAGCAGTTCAAGTTGATTGTGAATTATCATTAAGTGGCAAGGAAAACCTTCCCCAGCTCGATATCGATTTGGAAGAAACCCAAGTTTTTGCACCAAATAAAGGTAAAATTATTATATCATTGTTTTTTTTGTTTCCATTTTGAAATGATTAAAATTTGTTCTATATAAACTAAGATAAAGCCATGACGAAAAAAACTAGCTCGATATCGTCGGATTCAAATGCAGCATCAACAAATGAAGTAAGCGAAGGAAATTCTAGTTGGTTGGCGCCCACTCAAGTATTTACAAAAAAATTATCTAATGCAATGCCACCATTCAAAGGGCATGAAAAACCAATGCAAAATCCATCTATCACAAGGCAAAAAGCAAGCACTGCAGTACAGATGGAAAGAGTTGAAAACCCAAAAAATTTGGCGAGTTCAGAGGAGATTGTCATGAAATCAAATTCAAACAAAAGAAAAGTTAATTCGAAAAATGATGATTGTTTTAAAAAACCGAAACAGAGTACTTCAAGTTGTACATCAAAAGGAAATATTTCTAGCATATGTAGTTCACAATCCGAAATGGACGATCTCCTATTATGCACGCCCAAATGGATTTCAGATAATATAGATGTACTTCCAATAAAACAACCGATAACGGTTGCTAAAAGACGAATGCTGTTTGGAGCGGATTCTGAAGAAGAATCTGTTGAATTAAATAAATTGGATGTAAAAAAAGATTCTAAAGATTTCGATATGTTACTATCCAATGTTAAGGAAGGAAAGCTAGAAAAAAAAATTGAAAAGCCTAAAAGCTTGCAAGTTAAGAAGGAAGTTATCACTAATATAAATAATGCTATCAAAACAAAGAAAAAGCAAGTAGGGCATGAAGGAAATAGTGTACAATCCGACAATAGTCCAGTCGGAAAGACGGACTCTAATGCTAAAAAAACTGTTAACGATGACACAACAAAAGTTGAACGGAAACAAGAAACTGAAAAAAAAGTAGAAGGAGCTAAAAAAAAGAGGACCAGAACTCCATCAGCAAAAGTTGTCAAATCAACTGAAGAGGAAGCTGAACCTGTTAGGAGGATAACACGCCTGAAATCCCGAACTTGTGAAAAGGAAGATGAAAAAGGGAATACATCCTTAAGTGGTCCTTCGCAGGCGAAGTTTCGTAAAACCGAGCAAACTGATAGTGTTGAGCAGAGCAAAAGTAAGTTAACAAAAAATGAAATATTTTTGTAAGATTTTTATATATTTTATCCTTTTTAGAACGCGTAACACGTTCCCGATCTAAAACAGACTCCCAAGAGAGTGTGAGCTCGACAAAAAAATCCACGTCTTCAGCGAGCAGTACGTCGAAAGGGAAAGGTGTACTAGAAAAAGAAGCTCGAAAAAAAATTGATTCCGACAATGAGAAAAAGAAGAAAAAGTCTGAGCCCTCGAAATCTGCCAAAGATACCAAACCCAAATCTAGCACAGATGGATCATCAGATGATGAATTTAGAAAACTACGGAGCAATGTGTGTATATATTATTTCATTATTTATATTAATTTACTAATAATAAATTCAATTCCTTCATTAGAGCCGAACCTTGCAGATAGCGAAGACAATGGTTGATGAAGAGGTTTTTCAAAATTTAAATGTAAATTCTTCAGGTTTTTAATTGATTGTAAATATTAAATAGAACTTTTGAAAAATTTGAATAATTCTCAGGTAAATGGTGTGTGGCGAGTGATCCCACTGATGCGGACGTATTAGTTATGGATAAAGGAAATCGTACACTAAAGTTTCTAATTGCTATGGCAAAAGGCATACCAATTGTGACAACAAAGTGGCTGGAGTCATTCAACGCTACAAAAATAATTCCTCGTGGAATTACATATTTCTTTAGAGATCATGATTTTGAGAAACGACATAAGTTTTCATTATTAAAATCATTGGAGTTGGCTAGAAATCGTAAGCTATTTGAAGGGTATGAATTCTTCACCACGCCAAGTATTTCGCCAGCACCAGCTGAAATGAAACGTAAGTAATAAAAGGCTCAATTCAGTTTTATATAATACTAAAACCCGGTATCTCTCTTTGTGTATAGAAATTCTAGAATGCGCTGGTGGAATAGTGCATAACGAACCACAACCGCCAAAAAAGGATAAAAAGATTTATTTGGTGTCCACTATGAATGACAAAAAATATTGGCATAAATATCGACATCGTAACTGTACTATACATATAATTAATAGCGAGGGCGTAATGACAGCTGTTATGCGACAAATTCCTACTCTATTGGATTCATATATCTTTGCTTAAATAAGAATGAAGTCTTAAAAGACATAAGAAACAAATTCGCAATATATCTTCAATAACCGAACTTCATTAGGTATACGTAACCAGTGCCAGTAAATATGATAGGTATATACTCATAAATTCGCAGCAATTTTATGTTTCCTTTTTAAGATATTTTCATAAATATTATATGTAGAACACACATTTTAATATTGTTCATTAAATTTATTTGTTATATAACTAAGTTACCTTCCGTTATATTCGTCCAGAATTTATATGTATATATGCTAATATGCATACAAATAATACCCTCATTTTAATATAAAAATTATTTAAGTGTTTTCATAGTAAATAGTTTTATTTTACGTCTACAAGAAAATTGCATTTTTGTTTATCAATAAACGAACGCGTTAAAAGAAATTTCCTCTTGTCTTTTTTTTTTGTTTTCTTTATTTTTTTAATTGGTTTATTGTAAGAGGATTATTTTTTGGTTACGGGATATTTTTTTTTTATCTTTTCTTACAAATTTATCAGTTTAAATTGTACGAACTTAACGAATTAATGGCAACGATGGTGGAGGACCAGCGCGATCCATAGCTGTGCCCGGACCTAGGAGAACTTGCTTCTGTTGCGACCTCTGCATTTCTTCCATTTGTGCTCGTTCCGTTTCGAAAATAACGGGTGCGAACAAGATAACTGAACTCGTAAAGAAGATCCAGGAAGCATTGCACGAGAACGTGTAAAGTCCTTTAACGCTGGTAGTTGTAAGATCGACCATTTTACCGGTAAATCGCCGGACAGGTTCGGGGAACATTTCTGTAAGTCCCCATAGTCGTTCGCCTAGGGTTTCATCAGGTTCCTGAAAATGTTCAAAAATTATTTTAATAAAAAGTATTTAAACGAATATTTATATTTCGTTAACATTTTAATAAGCTTAACCAAGGCACAGTTGCAATTGAATACATAATTTTTACTGATAACAATAATTATTTCATTTAATAATCGCTTTGAATCTCACTACTGTACGATTGCCTAATCAAAGTGAGGTTATGTGCATATGGTCGTAAACATGTAGTTAATTGCATTGATTTTTCTTTAAAATATTAAGAGAAGAGTACAATATCACCTTATAATAGACACATATATAAAAAATATTATTTAACTTACGTCGTCATAGGTTTCTTCATCCGAATTCTTGGTAGTAGTCTGTAAGAAAAAAACCAAAAATGTTTACAATTGCTGGAACACATTTTAAGTTATTGATTTTCAGCAAATTAAGCTGACTGTATAACTCTGAATACAATTCTGGTAGTACAGAAAGTAGAGTTAAACCAAATATAAAAAAAATGTTTCTATACAGAATATACACTCCTAAAAACATTTTTTACGGTAAAGTGCTTACTACTTTCTCTACAGCTCGTCGCTCTGGTGTTTCGTCCTTGCTTCCACTCAACGAAGACATTCCGCTATCCTTTTCGATGATTTCGATGTCAGGATCAGAATCCATCAAATCTTCGATTTTTACGGAATCCACTTTTGCTATTTTTTTAGCGACGTACCCTTACGTCGCCTACTGGTACGGGAGGAAGAATTGAATGTTGTACTTAAAATGATGGCTAATTGTTGGTGTTGGTATTATATTTGTCAATACTCTTCAAAATCAATGTGCAGTATGGACTTTTCCAAAACCACTTTCTAAACACAAAACTAATGAAAAAATGTATGAAAATGCGAGGAACACCCGGGTTTTTAGCTTTTCCTGATTTCAATTGTATATATACTATTGCGTTTTAACTGGAAATATAATCGATTTTCTTATATACACACATATGGAGTAAAATCACACGCACTTTTCTTCTATTCGGCACAAAAAAGAATAATTTCCGCGGACAATGAAAATTTACATGCGATTCAAATGTCAAAATGTGGTCGTTACGTCAGAATGCGCGGAGTGTGTTCAATTAATCTGATACAGTGCCCTATGGTTCATTCAGTCAAGATGGAATTCTGCTGATGAAAAAAATTAACTATGAATTTGAGTTTCTATTTACAATTACACTAAATTAATAATGTGTTGTTTGTGTTTAAAAAAGGTACAAGCAAAGTACAAAAACTACACTATAAATTGTAATTCTCGAATATTTTGTTTTGAACTTACCGATTCTCCAGCGGGTATACGTTTCTCTGGCTCCTTATATCTTTCCATTTTTTCCAAATGCTCGTCTTCTATATCTAATTCCTTTTTTTCATTTCTTTCCTCAGACATATCACCGACTATTTTATATTTCCCTTCTTTGGATTAGACTGAAAAACACGACGTTGTGAATTTATTTGCAGTTTGTATACGAAATTGCGGATTTTTATGATGTTTTGTCTGCAAACAACCCACTCGAAAATATATAACAGAAATTAAAAGCAAATTTTGATGTCTATTTCACATAATACGACGTTTCCGAACCGTAAAAATAAAAATTGATTGCTTATAGTTTTGTTTTAGAAGAATTTTTAGCACAAAGTAGTTCAGGAACTCGAAATCAATCATTAAGGTTATTCTATTGTAGTTGTTATAAAAACCATTGAAGGCTTCTCACACATCTACACAGCTTTTAAATTTAAACTGCTTTTAAACTTCGTATTTGTTGTTGTTTTGTTGTTGTTGTTGTTGTTGTTGTTGTAGCGGTTCGCTAACCCCTCTTAGGCACAGGCTTAATTAGTCTAAGTCGCCGAGGTCATCTAATGGTAGGCCCAGGAAACGAGCTGTTTCGACGGGGTTGGACCAAAGGGAGAGGGGGGGTTAGATGAGTAGGTTTGAGGGGGCATGTGAAGAGGTGGTTAGTGTCGTGCGGGGACTCTCCACATGCCGGGCATACGTTAGGTATGCTGGGGTCTAGTCTAGATAGGTAGGAGTTTAACCTGCTACAATATCCAGACGTGAGTTGTGTCGTTCGTTGTAACGGTTATAAAATTCTGTTAATGTAAGAGCAGAAGAAAATCATTCAATGTTACCAAGATCATCTAAGGTGAGAGAGAGGTGCAGGAAATGGGCTGTTTCGACAGGTCGGAACACGAAGGAGAGTGGTGTGAGATAAGTTGATTTTAGAGTTCATGAAAAGAGGTGGTTAGTGTCGTACACGGATCTTTTGCATACAGAACATTCATTGGGTATGGCTGGGTCGAGTCTGAATAAGTAGGAGTTAAGACGACTACAGTATCCTAACCTTAACTGTGCCAGTATTACTCGGGCCTCTCGTGGCAGGTCGAGAACTTGGCGTACGGGATTTTTCAATGAGCTGGGTTTTTCGCACTGACCGGCCAATGGCTGTCACTTTTTTAACGACTCAACCCGGTTGAGGTAAGAAAGTAACATTAGCACACTTATGGGCATGACAATATTGTCACCTTTACGACTTCAATTCTATCTATTTGGACAGAGACATGAGGCCAGGTAGAAAAGTGCATCCTTTATAGGATGTACACTACGATTGGAAAGCCAATTATAACCTATGGTGTAGTCTGCGGGTAGAATGAGTAAACTAAACTTTGCAAGGCCTGCACTATCCAAGCTTCAAAGGCTTGTATCACAAACGGATTATTGCCCCTGCGGGTTAGGGGCTCAATAATTCACCCGCGGTAAGGCATGCCTGTCATAAGAGGCGACTAAAATCCAACAGTTCCCGCGACAGTCGGGCCTTTAGACCGGAACGACCCGGATTTTTTTCCGGCCAAGGGCTGTCACTCCCGCAACATTCCCCAAAAAGTACTTGGGGGAATATTTTTGCGGTTACAACATCAACAACAACAACAACAACAACAACAACAAACGGATTATGATTAGAACTAGAACAGGGAAAGTAAAAATAATCTCGCGGGTGTCACACAATCAAAGGGAATAGGAGTTAAGGTCAGAATAGAAACACACAATAAAAAGGTATTGATGTAAGTTAGCGGAGCGTAACAGTTTGAAATCAATGACATGATATCCGTGAACTCCCTTTGACTTATAGGTTTCCTCAAGGCATTGGGCATATACTAAGTGCTATGGCCGATGCAGATTGTATTCCTGGTCTTAGAAAGTCTCTCGCTTTGATAAAGCGACTGATGCCGGAGTATATTTAAGCTTGCTCTGCCCAATTCATAAAAATTAAAAGAGGATCGGCACACAACACATCTTCGCCGCTTTGTATGAATTTAGTATCCCTGTGTAAACTAACGTTAAGCAAGACCAAAGTTCCATCAGGATGTGGAAAGATCTCCCGAGCCGTTCGATACCAAGCTTGATTTCAGACAAGGAGTCTCCTTAAATTTGTAATTGTAATATTTTAGATGTCGTAGATAATATCTTGGGAATAGCACTAACACCAGATGAACTGTCAGCTTTGAAATCCTACAAATAATCACTCTTGACATCAAGTGCTACTTTGGCGGAGTAGGCAATGGAAAAATAAAGCCCTCTCTTGACAATCAATAGCCAAACTCGACAAGTCGCTCATCGTTACCGTCCTGCTATATGGTGCGTAGGCAAGGATGACGAGAGCATCTGATGATTCGGCGTTAAGAGTTTTCCAGAGAAAGGTTTTCGTAAGATTTCAGGTTATTTGCGTGTTGGATACGGGGAAAACCCGCCGCCGAAGGAACCATGAGCTGTACTGGATATACGGCAACATTGACATAGTTCAGTGAATCAAGAAACAGCGGCTGCGGGGTTTGGTCGTGTGGTCTGGATGGATAAGAATACGCTAGCTTTGATTAACTTTAATTAATATTTCCGTAATCGTAATTTCGTTCATGGAAATTCGTAAAGATACCTCTCCTACTCTGGACTGACAATTGAAAAGCAAAGTTCTGTCTCGACGAGCAAACATTAAAAATTCTCATCTTGCAGCAGCATAGACGATAATGACATCTGTTGAGTCGGCATCAGGAGTTTTCGGCAGAAAGGATTTGAGGTGAGGTTAGTTCCGCTTAAAAGACGCTGCATAAGTCGGGAATCCTCTGGCTAAGGTCCAGAATAAAATAAAGTTTTTATTTAAGTATATAGAAACAAACTTGTCTATACTTCCTCTTTAAGATTTTTTTTTTTTGAAAAAGTAGAATGGTGTAGAATTTAATATCCCGTCCATTAAACTATGCCTGTCTTTCCCACTTTGAAATATGAGTAGCACTATATAGTGCTGCCCACCAGGCGGTGACAACGTATGAGTTTTATGACCGCTTTTATAGCCAATATACACCTATGAGTAAGGATGGTTTAAGAGCAGCTCGGTCTTTGAAGGATTTACATCCAGACCGCACGCACTGCATCAGCAACTTAATGCGTATAGGGTGCTTTGGTGCAGATCGCCTGGGACCTCTAGGTTTTTTCCTGTTGATATGAGGGCTTGCGAATCCGTATGTGTTGACTGCCAGACAGAAAAGAAAAAAGAGGATAGAGAATTTCTTCCATTGTGTGCTTCTATTGACATTAAAAATTGAGTCCTAACTATTTCATTTCCTCTAAAATATCGACTTTATTAAGTTTAGGTGTATTTAAACTTAAATCGAACTATACTTACTTAGGTTTCACAGCAACAATGGTTTTGCTGCAGCCTTGGTCTGTTTTAGTGCCTTTGTGGATATCGCCTGCCGCATAGCGAACGGACTTTCGGACCGAAAAAAAGCTAATACTGTTTTATATTTAAGCTTAAAAAGACAATTTTTAGTACCAAAAACTATTGGAATTTTCAAATCGTGTGATGAGTTTTTTGAACTCGTGAAACGATGTCGGTGATAGAAACTGTTGAGCCAATTTTTCTTTTATACTTTTTTGAGTGTCTCTTCTATATAAACTTAAAACATACCAAAGAAGTTGGAAAATTCCAAATTTTTTCGAAGTTTTAAAATAGAATTCACTTAAAAATGGAATCACTTCAAGTTGCCAAAATGTAAGCTCGGAGTTTCAAAGCTCTGCCCGAGCATTCGAACCTGCTCGACGCTCGGCCACTAAAACTACTTTAGCTTCGAAAATATGTCGAATTGGCCACAGAAATTTTGAAGCAATATCCTGGGATAGTTTAAGAATAGATTTAATAAAAAATGCATTTTTTGAAGCCTCTGAATGAGAGGTTGCATGTATGTGTAGGACTTGAAGGAAAAAAACTTTTTTCTCTAATTTTTTTTAAAAGATACTAAACAAAGTATACAATTTATTTTGTTTGCATATAAAAGTAAAATATGTGGACAACATTTGATGAAAATTTGAATGAAAAATAGTATAAGTTAAGACGTTGCCAGTGCTGTGAAGTAGACCGTCCACATTAAAGTGCTTCCGCGGTAGTCATGATAACTTTTTCAAAAATCCAAATTTTTTCTTAAAGTAGGTGAATTTTCCTTAACCCTGAATGAAGAATAATTAAAAAATTTAAAATTAAATTTAAATTAAATTTTAATTAATGTAAAATGAAATTTTTTGCAGCGTTTTTTTTTTTACAAAAAACGTCATTTTTGCATAAAATTAGGCCACATATTGGCTTGAAAATTGAGTTGAAATCAAAGATAAAATAAATCCTTCGTTCAGGGACTACAAAAATATGCTTAAAAGAAGTGTGGAAAATTTGAATCGATCGCTTCAAAAGTCGTTGAGAAATTTTGGCTACCGATTTCGATAAAGTGGTTTTAAGAAAAACGCGTTTAAAGTTTCGCCATCGGTCAAGCCATGTCAAAAACGGCGGGACTCGAAACTTGGGTGAGAATATTCCTGACATTTTGTACTTTTATACAAAAAATTATCAAAAAAAAATTATTTTTTGAAGTTTTTGAACTATGTAACCGCTTAATGCGCTTCGTTATGCAAAATAAGAAAAAAGAATGATTCAAAATATTTTTGTTCTTTTGTTTATAATCAACAATCAAGTTTATTTGTTTTTATTTATTCAAATAACTTTACAAAATATTTCTTTTTTTGTTTGTTTGTTTGTAATTTATATGCCTTTTTCAAAAACGTACTTATGTACTTATGTATACACTTGGGTATATGTATGTATGTATTTAAGTAGGTTTGTTTGGTATAATTAATTTTTTCGTAAGTTTGTTTCGAACAAAGCTAAGTAATATTGCACATATTAGAATACGAATACATACGAATATATATAATATAATATGTATGTATGTATGTATGCATGTAAAATTAAGGAAGCGTTTATATGTACACATACATACATACATATATGTAAATACATTCATAAATGTACATAAAAGTGAGAGTTATATAGAGCTTTAGAAAACGGGTTAATTTAATAATATAGTAATAATAGTAATAAGTATAAACTTTGATTTATTTGTTGTTTTTTTTTTTTAATTTTGATTTTTTTTTTAAATTTTTTCTGGTAAGACAAGTTGAAAGTTTTCACTTTGTTTATTTTCTAAACATACTGTTTATATTTCTTTAATAAATTTTCACCCGCAAACTGCATTGCCAGTTGTAGAATATATGTAAGTTTGTATATATGTATGTATATATTTATTTATGTTCATAGTTTATAGCTTGCATTTGATAACGGATTTTTTTTTTAAATTTATTTGTTTCATTTATACATTATTAGTTAATTATGAATTAAACTAATTTCCCTTTGAAAAACATATGTATGTATGTACATATATTCACTTACATACAAACATACATATTTACGCTTTGACATTTATCTGAATTTCATCTCATTTATTGCAGCACCCTTAACACAAATATTTATTTATCACTCTCGCGCTCAGACTTATACGAATTTTTTATTTTTAATTACATACATATACATATCATACATATATTTATTATAAATCTGTAAAAGTCAATTTAATATATTTAATTTATGTATCATAATTGATTGGATTCTTTCTTTACTTTCAATTGTTTCATTACATATGTATGTATATATGTATGTATGTATTTGTTTGTTTTTTGTTTTTGTTTTTGTTTTTGTTTTTGTATATATCTTTCTAACAAAGCGCTGCAAATATATTTAAATTTTCATCTCATTTGTTTGTTCATCACTAAAACTTAAACTTAAAACTAACTATAGGCATGCATGTATGTATGCGTGGTGTTTTTATTGTGTAAATTATTAATTTATTGTGTGTAACTACATTAAAAATAAATTTATTAATTAAAATTAACAATCTACTAACTAAAAAAATTATCTTTTGTGACATTTTTTTCCCGACAGCAATTTACTACAACACTTCTGTGGTGAATTCGCCCTCCAGCCGCTGCTACGTTTCGCAAACATACAAAATATATATGTATGTATGTGTGTATAATATTAGTATGTGTTTTTAAAACTGTGTTCAAGCGTAATTTCATCTTTAACATTTTTCCAGGTTATTATTAGTTGGTTGAGTAGGCTGCATTGTTGTATTTACTGGTGATTGAAAATTTTTATTGTTGATTTTGTATTGTTGTTGTTTGTTTGTTTGCTGTTACCTCATGGCCTTTTGTAAATATGCTCAGTTGCGGGGGGTGTTTTTCAGCACTTTAAAGTAAAAGTCTCGTAAATTCTGTAAAAAGAAATGAAAGAAATATTTTCAGTTAAAAATGTGACTCACATACATATAAAGGATACATATGATATATTTGTTATTCAGAATTAAATATTATATAAAGGTACAGGGTTATAAATTTTTCTGTTTTCAAAAAAAAATGTAAATAAATGAAAGAACTTTTTTCTTTTATTTTGTATAAAATTTTAAGCTTGCCATTATTTGTGAGACACTAAAACATTCGAAAGACCATTTCGTGATCTCTTGGAGGTAGTTTTCGAACACTTTTTGGCACATATCGGACGAATTCAGTTTCAGTTATAACTTAGGGAATGTTGCTCTTCAAGTACTTAAGTCTCAAAGGCTTATCCACACTGACAGCGATAGTCTCGCTGTTTCTGGGCGTTTTTAAAGAAGTAAGCTCCAATCACACCTCCGGATCAAAGAACACGCCATAAATGAAGTGTTTTTTTTTTGTGTGTACTGGCGGTCGCGGTAGCTGAGTGCTTAGCGTTTGTACTTACATTCGGAAGGCTCGGGTTCGTATACCGCTGCCACCAACATCCAAAAGTTATGGAAAATTTATTTAAATAAAAAATTAAAATCTATTTTCTAATAGCGGACGTCCTTTGGCAGGAAATTTCCCGTCCTCCGTAAGTACTTCTGATATGAAATACAAGGTTACTCATAAAAATGCATCGACCGTTCGGAGGCTGTTTAGTATAAACTTTAGGTCACTGCATTTGTTTGAAAAATATCAAGCACAAAACCACATATTGGAGGAAGAGCTCGATGAAAATCGCTTCAGCGGTTACAAAGCGCCAATTACGAGTATTATAAATTTAATTGCCCTACCAAATCCGTATTTCGAGCAACCATGAATCGTTTTCTGACCAAATTTGCTTTAGTGGATAATGCATATAGATGCTTTACAGTGTGCAACAAAGACGATTGACGTCTTGGTAGAGAATATTCGGCGCGATAATGCTGATATACGCTAGCTAGTATCAGTATCTATCCCATCAAACGTGGCGAGGTAAGCAATCTTGTCACTACAGCTCGAGATTCCTCATCGTGCCAGCAGCTTCTCTATCTTCAAGGGACCAGATATTCAACATGCGCCAAATCTTGGAAATTGGACCTCCACCCCGTCTTCTTTATCGTTAAACTTGATTTTGGAGAAAATAATAAGAGCAAAGCTGCTTCGATAAGACATCCAACCGATCATATTGGACTGAGTAAGCAATCAAAAAGTACGGTTCTTTCCAGCCCCAGCGGGTTAGGGCCTCAAAAATATACCCGTGGTAAGGCAAGCCTGTCGTAGGAGGTGACTAAAATCCAATAGTTCTCGCGACAGTTGAGTCTTATAGCGGAACGACCCGGATTTTCATCCGGCCAAGGACTGCTCTGCCGCAATATTCCCCGAAAACCTAATCGGCGCCACGTGCCACATAAGCAACGAAACCATCGATCATTTAAGGAAAAAGTTTCCGGACCGTGTTATCTCTCGAAGAAGTGATCGCAATTGACCACCGAAATCTAGCGATTTAAGATCTTGCGACTCCTTCCCTTGAGTCCACGTGAAAGATAAGGTATATGCCAACAGACCAACGATTCGATTCAAGACCTCCAAAATAGATTCATGAAGCTTTCGAGGGCATACAGCAGCCATTTTGCGATTTGATAATGGAAAATGTTATATACAGGTTACTGTTCTGTAAGCATACCTGTGGCGGCCATTTGGCTGATATACAATAGTTTTCCATTAATGATGGCATAAATTCCTCTTTACATTGAAACAAACCTTCGATAATTTACCTCCTTTTTGTTTGAATATCAAAATAACCCCTCTTATTCGGAAACCTTGTAGTAAGATAAAGGGAGGGTGTTATATTCGACATCATCTATTTACCGCCATAATAAGAGCCACATGTCGTGTAAGTGTTCAATAAAGCCCAAGGAACATTTTCAACTTCTCTGCTGATTTGTATTTGTATGGAATTGCATTTCTCTTTGCATAAAGCGCCTATACATAAATATAACCATCCAATTAAATATATTTTTATAAAAAAATACGTGTTCAGTCAGTGTTTGTGTTTACCAAAGTTTTCCGGTCGGTTCAATAACTTAATAATTTGCACAATAAAAATCATCACAAAAGATCTTCCGTTAGACATATCACACCTACATACTCGTAAGTACATAAGACAAAACGTTTTAAAAATAGAATGCGGGAAACGAAGACAAAAGTTGAGAGTTTATTTAGGGCTATGACCTATTAAATTTCTGTGAAAATATTCGTTTGCACACGTACATACAAATAAATTGGTATGCAAAAAGGCGAAAACACTTATGTGGAAAGTTAACCCAGCGGTTAGGTTTTTGCAACAAAGAGTTAACGGTTGAAAAACTTTACATCTCAAGACTCATGGCTCATTTGCCAATATTTGATGTTAAATGCTTCGGCGGAACGAAGGAAATGTAAGTGTGTTTGTGTATGTGCAACAGTTTTCATGCGTCATAGCTGACCTTTGTGGTGTTTAGGTTAATGCACCGCAGAATTATTGCATGCAATATATTTTTTTTCCTCGTCAAACATACACATAAATTTCAAAACATGAGTTCATGTAGTGATTAAACCTTGCATGCTTTCTATGTAGTAAAATTATTTATGTACATGCAAATATATTTTATAATTGTATATATAAATATATGTATTGGGTCATATAAGACGTTCGTTCGATTTTTTTTAATTTTTCAAAATATGATAACTTTGTGTAGATGTCCGAGCGCGCCTTTTGTTCGTAAACTTGTTGCTGACGGGATGCCAACTTCATTATACCCCTCTCGCAGAAGACTGCGTCCATATTAGCAAAAAACTCGGAGAGCCCATTTTCACAAGCCTCTCTTGAGACCAAATTCTCATCATTAAGCGCTTTCGCCATGTACAGGAAAAGATGGTAATCACTTAGTGCCAGATCCGGACTATAAGGTGGGTGCATTAGGATCTCCCATCCGAGCTCCAGGAGCTTCTGACGCGTCACCAAAGACGTGTGTGGCCTGGCGTTGTCCTGATGGAACAGAATTCGGTCTCTGTTGATCAAAGATGGCCTCTTCTGGATGAGTGCTGTCTTCAGGCGGTCCATTTGTTGGCAGTAGAGGGCCGAATTGAGCGCTTGGCCATACAAGAGCAGCTCGTAGTAGATGATTCCCTGCCAATCCCACCAAACACACAGCAAACCCTTCCTGGCCGTCAATCCGGTCTTGGTCACCGTCTGGGCCGCTTCCCCGAGCTTTGACCACGACTGTTTGCGCTCGATGTTGTCGTAAGTGACCCATTTTTCATCGCCAGTCACAATCCGCTACAGAAACAGGTCGATTCGTAGATGGAAATTCGGTCCATCCTGTTTTTTTGCGTTAGTTCGTATGGCAACGAAACATCGAGCTTCTTTTTGAATCCAAGGTTATGCAAATGGTTCCAAATGGTTTTCTGGCATAAATTTAGTTCCTCAGCAATTAAATAAGTGCTGCGACACGTAAAACTAGTGCAATGGACAATAACGCTATCTCTTAGATAAAAACCGATCGAACTCTTTACTTAACTTAATATATATGTAAGAGTACATGGAAATCGGCGGAGGACCTACCTTCGTAATTAATTCGGCCGTCTTGATCCAAATCGGCTATGGCCAATAACTGTGTCAGTTGTACTTCGGAGAGGGGTTCACCAATCATTTCCATGGCGGTTTGCAGCTCATCGCGGGTAATAAAACCATTGCCATCACGATCAAATACCCTGTAAAGGTAGGCAAAGGTTATTATAATAAATTCTTCTTTAAAAAAACTTAAAAATAAAAGTATTTTGCAGAAGTAAATAAAAATATGCACCATTTGGTTAGCAGAAGAAAGAAAAGATCAGAAAAGAAATAGGCTTTGCAAGATTTATTTAAAAAAAATCATTGTCTCTGATTAAATCGAGATTCTCCTCCAATTTGCCGTGTGAGTCCTTATGTTTATCCAACAATTATTCCAAGTCTGCTTCGAATGGCTGTTTGATTTTTGTGATGCGCTTTAATTTCATATCAGAAATATGCTCAGAGGGTTTGACATTCCCTGCTGGGGGGTGACTGCAATTAGAAAAATCAACTCTAACGCTAACCACTCAACCATTGCCACCGCCATTAAGACTAGAAAGTTTTCGGAAATTGTAAATACAACGCTAAAATTTCAATTTTCCAAAATATTTATTTTGTCGCCTTCAAAATATGCTCCTTCTGAAGCGAAAATCATATGCCGACTTCTTTTTTCCAATTAGCGAAGGATGCCTTGTAGGCGCTGTCCGGGGTCGAATTTTACTTTACGGCCTCAATCGATTCCAAACGAGTTCCAACTTGGGTTTTGGGAAACCTCGTGTATACGGTAGTTGATACATGATATTGATCGAGTTCTTGCTCTTAAAATCACAATTCCAGCCGTTTATGGCGTATGTTTTCGCGCAAACGCTTCAAAACGCTCAAAGAATACTCTTTCTTGATCATCTCTTGTTGACCGTCTATCCCGATGGAACGAATTCATGTTGAACCAAACCTCAACTATCGAGAAAAACGTTGTATGGCAACTTTCTTGTCTTAATGTACATACATATGTATGTATGTATGTAATATGAAAAACAGAAATTCATTCTTCAACCCACAAAAAAAAAAACAAAAAACATAAATAAAATAAAAACCCTATGGAAACGTGTCTGGGCGCCAGAAAATGTCATTTATTATACAAATGTAAAAGTAAACATACGAGTACTTGAAGAAAATATTTCCTCAACAATAATACCCATGTACTACTTGCAGACTTACATATACACATATATACTTATAAACGAGTATTCGTTTACCAGTGTATTTCAAATCGTTGTAATTGTTGTTTCAAGGGATTTAAATCAGATATTTTCTCTGGAGTTGAATTTCAAAGTTAAGTCCACAACGGCAGCGAAACCGAAAAATCACTGTTTCTGACAATAAAGTAAAGAGATGGCGTCGGTCAGAAAACATTTGTGGCTTCCTGTTGAGCGCGTATACATATTTACATACATACATACATACATATGTATTTGGTGCGTATTTAAAGGGCAAGAACAAAAGATACGCAACAGCGTAGTTCCATGTAATTTATACGTGTATATATGAACATGTACGAGGGGATTAACAAGAGTTCGGTAAGTTGACCAGAAAAAAAATTAAAAAAAATTGTTTTGTATTTATTCATAATCTTTGCACTTTTCTATTTTCTCTTCATAATTGTTATTGATTTCAATGCATTTCTTAAACCTATAGATCCACTTCTGCATTAACCGCTTTAATTATCTCCTCGTTGCTATTGAGACTATACCTTTTAAATTTTTTTTTTAATTTTTGGAAATCTTCACAGATCACAAGATGGTTTATCCGTGGAATATGGTGCTGGACGTAGTTCTTCGATCCCAGATATCGCAATAAAATTACTCATTATTTCAGCAGTGTGGCATGGCGCGCTGTCATCATGTAAAAAGTAGCGCCGGAAATCCTCTTTCTTCCTGTTTTCCGAAAAAAAGTTTTGAAAACTTTTGGTAAGCACTCTTCGGTGTACCATTTTGCTGTTGCTGTCTGATCCTTTTACAGTGGATTAGTAGCTACGATTTTAGATCGGGTGAAGTAAACTGAAATCATTACTTTTGCTGCTGATTTTTGTTGCTTAAATTTTGCGGTTGGGTTTGCTCCTGTTGGTCTCCATACTATGTATTACTGTTTGATTTCTGGATCGTACTCATAGAACCAAGATTCGTCACCAGTAACAACTTTACTAAACTTGCTAGATTGATTATTTTCGAATTTCTTTAGGGAAAATTGAGAAAAATGCAATCGAGCCACTTTTTGGGCCTTATTTAAATTCGTGGTAACCATCGAGCAGAAGATCTTTTCGTGTATCCCAGATAATAATCTAATATTCGTGATACTACCATGGCGTTCAAGACCCCCTTATCGTGGGTCTTCGTCAATGTTGGACTTCAGCAGAGTTACAGTGAAGTCATCAGTGGAAGATTTCGATCCGCCTTCTCGGAGCTCGACCACTATGGGAAAATGTCCGGTCAGGATTTTTCGGAACTATTTATAAATAGTTTTTAAAGACAGTGCAATCCTTCCAAATGAAATTTGGCATTCACTGCGTATTTGTATTGGCTGCGAATTACGCCGAAGCCCGCAGAAAATTACATGGAGAATTTCTGTTTGCGTTGGTGATGGAATTTCGTCTGACCTATCCACATCCGATCGTTGTAAAATTTGAAAGGAAGGCTAATAAAGTAGTTAAAAAAAATAAATTGAGAGCTCCCAACTGACCGAACTTTTGTTAAATCCCGTCGTACATACGCGACTGTGTGTTTTATATTCTATTTCTGCATGCATTTTCTCGCCTGAAACTATATTTATGTAAAGTTACATACATACAAGCATTCTCATCTACTCCTTATTTACTATACCGGCATAATTCCGAGAATCAAAGTGCCTACCACATAGACCTATTATATATGTATACGTGTATGTAGTAAGGGCAGTGCAATGCTAACTACATTTGCGTAAATGTGTTTGTATGTAAGCAAGTATATGCCTCACCTAAATGCGGCGATTAAATCTTCGGTGACATCATCATTTTCCTCTGGTTTGCTTGCATTCTCTTCTTGTTGCTGTTGCTGCTGTTGTTGTTCATCACGTAACGCCTGTATGCGCCCAACCCATTGCAGGAATTCAGCCTCGTTTATTAAACCATTTCCTGAAAAATAAAGAGAAGTAAAGAGGGAGAAAATTAATAAGAGCCAATAATTAGAAAACATTATGTACATATGTATGGTATATGCAAGATGTTTCATAAGAGTTATAATAATTGTGGACCTATGTTTCAGCTAGGAAATATGGGAAAATATTTATACATATATATATTATTTTTAGTTAAAGAAAAATTTTGTTTAAAAATATACGAAAAATCGCAAAGATTTTTTTTAAATATCTATTAAAATGAATCGATTATTCAATATCTTCTATGAGCTTTTAAAATTTTTTATCGAAATATCGATTAACTCATAGAACCGACTTGTTTCAGACACTTTTTTATGTCATCAGTTTTGAGTTGAAATCGGTAAAATTGAAGATTCAAAAGGCATAGATATAAATATGAAAATATTTTGGAAAAGAGTTATGCGACTTTATTAGACAAGTCAGAAAATATTATCATTTCAGACTCTGGTCTCGCATTAAAAAGGATAAAGATATGGATTTCCCATAAAATACTGGCATCGAAGTTAGTGAGCACATTAACCGGACTTTCATCATTCTCAACTCAAGGCTGAAATGATTTTAAGTCACTTTTTAGATTAATCAGCTATAAATTGAATAGTCAGAGTAAGAAAGCTGATTTGATTAAAAGGCTTTCTGAAAGAAAGAATAATTAATCGGTCTTAATTTCAGTTTTCCTAACTAGAAGACGCGTAAATGTCAGCCACAGTCAAGTTGATAAAAAAAAATTGTTTAATACTTTCAGAATTTATTCCCAACTAAGCCACCAATGTCAAAATACATAAATAGTTAGTCCCTTAAATATCACACTGTGTAGCAGCAACCACGCACATTTGTGGCTATTAAAAAACACATTTCCGCATACGTTTTTCTGTTTCGCCCATCCTATAGTCATTAAATCATTATGAAACTGAGCACTCACTCAACGTCAGTACAAGAGCGCTTTTGTTTTCTGATACTACGAGACCCGCTTAGCAGCAAATAGTTAAATTCAACAACAACACATACTAAGTACTCGTATAATGGCGAAACAATAGTGTGACAGCAAGAAAATCGCTTAAAAAATATCTATGTATGTGTCTGTGTGTATATGTGTGTCTGTACATGCATGAGTGGGTTATGTGTAGCTGGTTTCGTGCATTCGGTAGAAGTGTGTGGGTGCGCTGTACTGTATTGTTGTGGGAAAAGCTGAAAAGTGTTGCAGAAAAAAAAATGTATTTGCATACAGTTAAATAAAATCAACGAAATTCTCTTCTCGCTTAGTAATGGACATGAAAAACTGCGAGTCTTGCGTAACTTTGGAAATTTCCCGAATAAGCGTAGGTGGAGGGCATACTAAATGCACACTGTTTAATAGGACTTCACGGTCCCCCAGCAACCGCTTTAACTCAACTCAACTCAAGTGGAGGTGAAACAAGAAAGCCCTACCTTCCAACCCCAGCGCTTTTCTGTGGTTAAAACTATAACTCCTTTTGAGAGAAAAGTATCTGTATTTATTAATACATAAAACCTTTCCAAATTTACAGACTGAACTGGATCACCTGTTCGTATTCAGTCAATCGCTGACTCGCTGTTATGTTTAGCAATGATAGTGGTGGTCCCTCAAGGAATCAGGTAACATATCCAGCTCTTCAAAAATCAACCAGGAATATAAACGGAAGCCCATCGCTATTAAAGTTATATTAAAGACCATTATTAAAGGAGTGTTAAGGTTTAAGTCGACTATAATATCCAGATCCAGCTCGAGCTCGTCGTATGCAAAATGTGATGCTTGCATTTCGAAAACGCCATTCACTACTAGAGGGTTCAAGAAAGTGTTTACGGACTCTAGGTGAATAGTGTTTTAAGCCTGTCGACACGCAGTTCTGTTCGAGGGTTCTTGTCTATGGTGCTAAATGGAGTAGGTATAGTCTAGCACTCCCTACATAATGGGCATGGAAGTAGATTCAGCCTCAAGTAAATTATGATATTGCTTGTGCAACATAACACTAAGCTCCTTAAGTGATAGCAAGATGCTTCACTACGCAAGTGATGCTTTGGTGACATCTGGATCCTGTCACGGAACTAAGGGCGGTCTTCTGACCCCTTCATCTCGTTAGCCATTGTGCGACATCAAAATCGGGGAAGCTTAATTTAGACCGGCTGGTCAATTGCAATGAATATTGGGAGCAAAGTTGCTTTGTGTTTACTTCAGGTGCTGCCTGGATTGCTACACTAAAATTCCTGAGTTGACGCAGCCAGTCTGTCTAGCGTCTTTTTAAGCTGTTCCTTAGCCTCAACATACGGACGTAACTCACTAAATTACTAATAATTTTTAAGAGTCATAAAAATCCCGGCTAACATATGCGATTGATGGTTTGATTCTGAGTTGAAAATCCCACATTGAAGCATTCGTAAATATAAATGTAATGAAACGAAGGCAACTATAGCTCTAAATGCCACTTAAACTGATCAGAAAAAGTGTATACTAGAAGCCGGAGAGTTATGGATTCCTAACTTGGACAGGCCAACATTGACCTTTCTTTTTAATGCGCTTCCTCCCAAGCAGATAATGAACGCCAGAGCGACAAATCCACTAGCCGTTCTGAGGAGCAGGTTGAAACTGTAGCTACGCTCATATGCTGGAGATAGCTGAAGTCCTACAATATAAATCGGGTAGAAACTCGACGAAATTTCATCTAAAATACTGATAGAGCAGATGAAAAGAAAGCTCTCAAAAATACAGATTTGTGCAAGTACGCATTCAGCTAGACCTAATTACACGTTTAGATATCTACAAAGCAGAGCATGTCAGCTAAATATTTATATACATATAAAGTGATTTTCGGTCGAGCTCCTCTATCGTTTTGTGGCATGCATCTTGTTGTATTCCAACATGTGGAGCAACCAACAGTGTATACTAAGCCGTCTCCGAACGGCTGATGGTTTTTTTATGAGGAGCCTTTATTTCATGTCAGACATACACTCGGAAGGGTTGACATTCTCACTAGTCTGTGGTTAGCCCTTGGCAGGTAATGTCAGGTTCTCCGAGAGTGACCATGAAATAAACAGTCAGTCGTTCAAAAACACCTCTTTGAAAAAACACCATAGTTACGCACCAAAAATGAAGGAGGAGCTCGGCCAAAAATCCCTTCAGCGGTTATAAGCCGCCAATTGTGTGTATGAGCAACTTATTAGAAATCAGGCTTATGTAACTGAGACCGAAGCAACAATGCAACTGCGTTACACGATGCCGTTAAGTTGACGAAAAATATGGCGCTGGCGGCAGCTGGGAGTGGGTGAGCAGTTTTAGCGTTCAAAGCTGTTTGTTATGAGTGCCGGAAATGGTGAAAGCACTCGCGTGGATTGCATGCAATGCATATATGCAGCTATTGTCGTAGGCGACTTAGAAACTTATATATATATATTTATTGTAATGTATGCATGTATGTATTATGCTATGAATTGCATGTTAGTACACAGCGTGGTTTTCAATGGGAATTTAAAGAAATGAAATTGTTGCGAAAAGAACAAAGAATGCGTTGACAAGTAGACAAAAAGCGAGAAGAGTCTCGAAATAAGTGTGCAAAAAGAAAAAGAAAGAACTTAGAAAATAATACCCCAACTTAGCAGCGTTGTAAACTTTAGTATTAATGTTTCGCAACAAATATAAAGACATTGTCTAACGCATACAAATATACAAACGTACACACCTATACACACACATCGCATATGCTTAGCTTTTAAATCCTACTTAATCTACATTACTAGCATTTGAGGTTATTTGCTTTTGCTTCCAATGCCTTCTACTACTACTACTTGTACTTATTATTATAGAAATGCTACAAAGATTCCATTGTAATTTTGGTGAGTGCATCTGTGAGCATTTCACTGTTCGCTGGTTAGCCTGACATTGACCTTGAATGCAATGTCGTTGCGGCAATAATTGTCAATGACAACTTGGCGTTTGGCAAAGCGGCGTAAATTGTCGACGTAGAATGGTCGTTGGATGCATGGAGCTTGAGTGCGATTTAAGTTTGTTTTTGTCAGCTCAGCTGATGGATGAAAAGCTCACTCTGCATGTGGTGCCATGGATTGGGCGCCATGTTGTATGAGTAACATTTATAAGGGAATTAAAACTATGTCCTTCTGGAATGAAAAACAAACTTAAGTCGATTTTGTATTTAAAAAGAGGATTGAAATAAAAATTCTTAAACTTTTATTTCTTTAACTTGTATTAAGGTACGCATTTGATTTTAATTTTTTGTTTAAGAAAACTTTCGATTTTTTTGCTGAAACTTCATAAATAAGCAGAATTTAAACTGAATCGTATAAATTTTTTCTTACAAGAAATCAGGCTCTAAGGGGTTACATAGGTCTTGAAGGCTAAAAAAGCTTAGTTTCTCTAATTTAAAAAAAAAAAATACTAAATAAAGTACACAATTTAGATGTTCATCGAATACGATTTTCGCAAGACAGTTTTGTTCAGCCTCAATGTTGAGACACCGTTACATTCTCAAGAAGTCAGTATTTGGCGTGCTCTATAGGTAGAGAGAGTTATTGGTTTGCCTTTCTTCGGAAATAAGCCGAACGTAATGTTACATTTATTATTTATTACCATTTTGCCTGAATTTGCAGATGTGGATGGGCCTTGGTTCCAACAAGACGGAGCTACATGCAATACAGCTAACGAAGAAATTAATTTAATGAAGCAAACTTTTGCTGGAAAATTTTTTATGGGTTTATGTGGGCCACATTGTCTACGCAGATGTGCCCGAAACGATTGACGCCTTGGAAAAGAATATTCGGTGCGTAACTACTGAGAAAGAGCTCCAATTGAAGCGAACCAGCTGCGGTGGTCGCCCTAAGAATATAATGCCAAATAATAATAAAATATAAGCTAAGTTCTTGTCCATGTCATTAAATTTAAACGTTTTATTTCTACTTGAAGACCACATGTCTAAAAAAACACCCTATATTATAAAATGAAACTATTCCAGC